AATTTTCAAGTGAAAAATTACTCTAGATATGTTGATTGTTTATGTTATTTATCAGTCCTACTTTTCTTCATATTCCATTGTCTTTTTATGTACTCTATATATATTTGACGATTTCATATTGTTTTATATACATGTAATAATGAAAACAAACATTCCCCATTTTATCTCGTGAATATTGTAAAAGTAATTACATGTCGTTTGAATAATTAAAAATGTGTCTAGTTTTATATTTTACTAGATTCACATGATATAGTACAAATAAGAAATAAAACATTTGAGTCATGCCATGATAATTTAACATATCAATAAATAATGTAATACACTTAAACGAATTTATATTATATTTACATTAAATTAACATGTAATTGGAATGTCAAATAATCGTTATAAAGTTTTAAATAATTATATATACATAGATAAACCTCTTCAGATACGAATCCCATGAAAGCATGTATACCATAAATTATATAATTATCTATAAAATATTATATTATTAAATGATATATAATGAATTTTTATAGAATGATTGTAAGGAATACAAATAAAATAATGATAATATGGATTATTTTCAATTATGCATATATATATATGATACATTAAAATTTTTTTTTTTGAACATATTTAGAATTATATATATGCACAGAAATTAAATAGGTCTTAATATATGATTATATATATAATGTTAAATAAATAGATATAAAAGGACAAGTATTATTTTTATATAAATATATAAAGAGTAAATGTAATAATCATAATTGTTTTCTTCTTCTATATTATGTATATTACAACTCCTTAAAAATTTTGTAAAAATATATATAAGTAAGAACATAGGCAACAGCGAAAAAGATAACGCAATAAAAAAAACTATGGTATATCCTTATGTATAATTCACCTTATAGGGAAAAAATAACTCTAAAATATAAGTAATTAGGGATACAGGAAATATAATTATCAGGTGACTAAATCAAGAGATTAATCATATTTTTTGGTTAATATACCGGACTTTAACTAAATTATATATTGTACATATTCCATAAAATATGTTATTTTTCAATATGAAGATTTTTTATTTCGAAAATATTATATACATTAGATTTTATAAATTTATACTTTTAGTGGGATTATATCTTATGCATTAAAGATTTTTTTAATTTATGTTTTGTATATACTTATTCGTTAGGTTCTTCTTATAGTAAATCCTATAATAAAAATGAATTTATCTATTCTTTGTTAATTTATATTTTAACGATTATCCATTATATAGCAAATTGTGAAATAGGAGAGCATAACAAATGAATACTACAAATATGTCATGTATGATATTTCATAATGTTATTCCTTATATAACTAAAGATAATATTTATTTTTGAACAATTTTCAGACTTCAATATGCTATGAAAAATTAAATTAAATCAGCAGATCATTATACATCAAAAATTATTTTAATAATATATAGATACATGTCTTCATATATATAGAACATTATTGTACCTTATAACAATAAATTACAATTTATTTCCAATTTCTAAATTCCTGAATATAACAACATTAATGAGTATTATAGGTTATGTTTAATTTATTTAATCTCCTTTCATCTATTACACACCTCATGTAATTAATGATTCTAGATTATTTTACACTATAATTATAAGTACGTACTTTTACTTCAACTATGATTTATTATGCTTTTATTTTTTATTTAAATAAGCTGTAATACATTAATGATTACTTGTTATAATAATTATGACATATAATCTTAAACGAAGAGTCCATGTATTTGTTTCATGAATATTTACAGAAGTAAAAATTTCAGAATATATTGATCTTAGGTAAATAATTACAAAAGGTATATGTACATTTATTTGCAAATTTTTTTTACTATTTTCTTAATAATAAACTAAAAAAAAAATTAATTTTCAATATTTAATATTTATTTTTGTAATTTTTAAAATCCATTTTATGAATACTATAGTATAAATAAGGAAATTTTATATATAAATAGTTTAAACTATTGAGATAAATACATTAAAAATATTTTCTGTTATAAATTCAGTTCCTATAAATATATATAATGAAAACGCCGTATCTATACATAGAGCATAAGATATCATAAAGATCATTTTTACAACACAACATATATATATGAAGAAAAACAACATATTTAAAAAAATAGAACAATATTGCTATTTCTTATTTGACCTTATAATAAAAGCATAAAATGTATGAAATATATGTACATTTAAATAATATTATTTTTTATTTTTATATTTACAATTGTTGTTATTTAGAAATTCATAATTTTTGTAAATAATTTGTATATTATATACTGATATTGTATTTTTTAATTTACTTGTTTCATTGAATATTAAATCTTATTTGAAAAAAATTATAGAACAATTGTTTATTATAGAGAAATGTATTTTTTTTATTTCGTAATTATATTTTTAGTCTGTTGTGATGTACATGACAAAATTAATTCAACATACATAAAATAATATATTTTTGCAATTTCGTCATATACTACAATAAATTAACATCTGTATATATGATTCATTAGTAGTTGAAATTATATAATCATAAATATTACAATAAGAGAAAATTGTAATAATAAAGATTGTCTAAAAAATACATTAAATTAATAGAAATTACAAACATCATAAGTAGTTTTAAATACAACATATTTTATTTACATAGATTAAAAATTGTTATGATAAATGATCACGTTATTGTTTAACTTATGCACAAATAATTTCAATATATATAACTATGATACAAGTAAATAAGAAAATATGCACAAATATATTTTTATCTCGCATACTAATGCTCTTATGAATTAATTCGTTTTACATACTTCTAATTATACCATATTTATAAATGATATTTAAAAAATATATTTCATTGAATAAATTTAACTTTTCATAAATATTAATGCAATTGTTGAACAATATAATTATTCTTATTAGAAAGTAATAACTACATATATGTTTAAAAAAAAATTACTCCCAAATTTTTAATTAAAATATATATTTTTTCCGATAAGTAAAATACAAACATATAAAGAGTTTTATGAGTTCATATTATTTCTAGGAAATATATAATACTAAAAAAAAAAAAAAAAATTTATATGTTGTAATAATCAAATTATGATAGTAACATATAAATATAAAATATTTATAATTTATTTCTTCTTTCGAATTAAAATATTAATGTTAATATCAACAATATATAAATAGTACTTAATAAATATAATATGGAAATTGGTGAGAACTTTACGAATTCAGAAAATAATTAAAAATTCTAAGAAGTTTATAAAATTTTTACCGTCAAAAACAATAGCTATACTTCTTTTTAAAATATATAAAAATTAACCATTATTAACATAAATTATATATATGAAATAAAAATAATAATATTAAGTTTAAACATTTGAAACTTAAAATGTTTAAATTAACCTATAGTAACGATGACACTTTCGTTTAAAAACATTGTGTATATAGAATATATATTATAAATGTAACATACCTATGTTATTATATACATTAATATGAATTACAAATAATTCATTTATCATTCATATTGTAAGTATCATTGTATGGTTTTTTAATATATATATATTTATGTAGTATATACTCTATAAAAAAGTACATATCCATGTTTCATTGACAATAATATTAAAATAATAACATATCATAAAGATTTATTAAAATAGACAAAATGAATAACACAAATTCCTAATTCAAAATAGCTCCATATATATTTTTATAAATCTTATTAGAAAATTATCAGTACATTAGTAAATGCATAGTGAGATATATGCTTTTCTTATTTTGTTTATATATCATGTATTAACATTTGTTAATAATGTTAGCTCAGTTAGGGGTACGTTTTTTATATAATGTAAATTGTTATTTATTTTAAGATACGATATTTCTCATTAAATTATTTATATTTTTTTATAAATAAAAAATAATTATTTTATCATTTGTTTTATGTGCATAGGATGATGAACTTAATAAATTACCTTCAAAAAAAAAGTATGCTAGTTTCAATAATCGTGATGTGGGCTGTAGCCATTCATATTTTTACGAATATGTAAAATCTGGACTAAATCAAGAGAAATGGCAGAGGGATGTTTCTGAGGAAATACTTAATGCCTTATGTTTTATATATAATAAAAAGGAAAAGGAAGACTTTAATAGTGATGATTGTGATTACCTATACTATTGGTTAAATGAATTAATATATACTAATATAACATATCATTTACATTATATACCTGTTATAAAAGTACTTGAGTTTTTACTAAAGAGTAGTGATGGTCGGGATATATGTAAGTATGATGAATATTATATGAATATCGAAAATTATAGGGATATTAAGAAATTATTTGA